AAAAAAAAAGTTTAGGTGAGATAAGATAAATGAAATGAATGGAGCCAGGAGCGATATTAGAATACACAACACCCTCACTGGAAGTCCTGGATATAAGTACTATCATATTGGATTGTCACTGCCCCATTACAAAGTGTAATCCTGCCTATTTCTGTACCTGTGGTCTCCTTTCTCCTTTTAAAGATGTAGACCCTTCCTCTTGTGAAAGGTAATCCCTCCACACATGTTTTGGATGCCATCCTCTCTCATTTTGTCCAAGACTTTGATTCTGCCCTCTGTCCTCATCTCCCATGCATCTAGGAGCACGGCCATCATCGTGAATATGATCAGTCGTCTCTCAGCTCCCCAGCCTTAAGCAAAATGAAACAAAACCCTTTATCTTCACGTTCCCTTCTAGCTACTGCTTCATTTTTCTGCCATTTCAACATCTTTCAAAAAAAATCATCTACATGAACTGTATTTTCATGTCCTCACCTCTCATTTATATTCAGTTTACTCCAATCTGGTTTTCACTCCCGAGACAAACCACTGGTGTTTTGGCCTAACTCAGCAGTGGTATCTCTGTTGGCAAATCCAATGAACATTTTTTTTCCTAAGGTTTTTGTACTCACCAGAGAAAGAGACAGAGAGACAGAGTGAGACATTACCTCCTGGGGGTGGGGGAGACTGCCATACCACAGTCTCTTTTCCTCCATTCTCCTCTTGGGATTTTGGTCATGCACACACATGTGCCTGGTGTAATTTTCAAGCCACCAGCTCCGGGACTTGAACCCAGTCAGCCAAGTGGGAGTTCAGTGCCTTAACCACTATACTACCTGCTGCCCCTCCAGTGAACACTTTTCGTTCTCATAGTATGAGACCCCAGCATCTTTGACCACCTCCTTGTAATACTTTCTGCTTTGCTGTCGTGTTTCCTCACTGTATTCATGTTTCCCCTTCCTTTTAGACCACCTCTCACCTCAGTCACTTTTGCTTGGTCCTTACTCTGTCTAATAGACATTGACTTGTTGACATTGTCTAATGGGAGGTTGAAGTGCAGGAGTTCAGCCTTGATCTCGTGCCTTTTTTGTTCTCTTTATACAATGCAATGACGTTATCTATTGTCTTGATTTTAGATATAATCTATCCGCTTTCCCATGTTCATGTAACTAACTGAAACCTTTCTTCTGAACTTCATGCTCATAGAGTCAGCTACTCCCTTGATGTGTACTCAGATCTGGAACATAACATTTAGAAAGCCCAACAAATTATCTCTCCATAATCTTATCTTTCACTTCAGAATTTTAGCTCTCACTCTTTCTTATTTCAGTATCTGGAATCATAAGCACACAGCTGTTCAAGTCAGAATCTGAAACTCTTTTTTTTTTTTTTTTTCAATTGCCAGAGGGCATATATATTAGCAAGAGAGAAAAAGACAGAGAGAGAGAAAGAAAGAGAAGGCACCCCCCATCCCCCCCGGGGGCATTGTCATGCTGCATTCCCTTTTCCTGCATCCTTTTGGGATTTGGGGCACATGTGCAGACAAGCCCTGTGGTTGGGATTCAAACAGCAGTTGACCATGTGGGATCTGATCCTCTTAACTATAGACTGTGGGGCTAGAAGCCCCTTGGGGATTCTTTTTGACTACTTCTCCTTTATCCTCCACCTGTGTCTCATCACCAAGTCCTAGTTCTGCTCCCAAAGCAACTCCTCTCTCTCTCTCTCTCTCTCTTTTTAAAGAATTATTTATTTATTTTTATTCATTCATTCATTTTATTTTAATTTGACCAGAGAGAGACACAGAGAGAGAAAGAGGGCTGCAAGACACCAGGTCCAGGATTTGAACCATGGTCAGCCATGTGGGAGTGTCCAGCACCTTTACCACCATGCCACCTGCTGGTCCCCCAAAGCACCTCTCTTATTTATTCATCTCTTTATTCTCTACCAAGTTTTTGGATTTGTACAAAATTTAAAGAGCCCAGGCCTCCATTAAGAAGACAAATCAAGTGAGTATTTGCAGGCAGGATATTTGAGGCTTAAAATTTTCAAAAACGTGAAGATAAATCATTAAAGCAACCATAGAGTGCCTTGCTGTAAGCCATGCAACTTTGTAGTGTATCTTCAGGGTGAAATCAATTTTAAAATTACATAGAAGAAACTATTAGAGCCGGCTCCATGGCCTGGTGGCTAAGGCAGCTGGATCCCACATGGCCAACTCTGGGGTTTGAGTCCCAGACCTGGTGGCTTGAGAAGCATGCTAAGCACATGTGTATGTGTTCCCAAAATCCTGAAAGGAGGGAGAAATTGAGGAGAAAGAATTGTGGCATGACCATTCCTCATGGGGAGGTGCTTTCTCCTTTTCCTCTCTTTCTCTGGCAAGTGTGTCCTCTAGCACACACATTAAAAAACAAAACAAACAAACAAAAAAAACAAAACTGTATTAAGTATAAAACAGTTAACAGTTGGGAGACTTCTATTAAAAATGATAGTAGTTATTTTTGAATACAGGTTTTAGTCCTTTATTTGAAGCCCTTGGGAACATGTTGAGTTTTGGAATTTACAGTTTCTTCTCTGCTATAGGGTGAGGCATGTAAACCATATGTTAGAGGGCTGACCCTGTAGCAAAGTGGCTAAGTGCTACGCACATGGAACTGGATCTCACATGGCCAACCACTGTTCACATCCTGGCCCCAGCAGCTTGAAAAACACATCATGCACATGGGTGTGCATGCCCCAAATCCTAAAGGGAGAGAGGAACGAAACAAAAAGGATTGCAGCATTAGCATGCCCAGTTGTGGGGTGCTTTCTCTCTCTAGCAAGGACATGTGCCCTCTGGCAATTAATAAAAAAATACATATATTAATATAATTCTTCTTTGATATCTGTTGTACCACTCCATATTTCACACAAAAGGAATAAAAATGATAACCTCACAGTAGTTCAGTCATATTTCATGTGCCCTAACACATTCATAAGATCTGGGCATTAGGACATGGACATCTGTGGGGACCATCATCTGCCTATCATATATAGTAAAAGAGAGAAAGTTGCAAAAGAGTTTGTAGAATTTCAATTCTGCTTGTGTAGGGGGAAAAAAAGAGTGATAGTGGTAAATAATATGGAGTAAAATATAATCAACTTTAAGAAAAATCCATTCCAAAATTTGATACTAAAAAAGAATCAAAGTTAACTGCTTTATTCACTTTAGCCAAAACATTCTTAACATTTCAGTTATCAGGTAGTAGGACAGAATTCATTTTCATGCAGTAGTAGATCAGTTGTGCACAGTGGGTGTATTTGTACACATCCCGGAAAGTCCCAGAGGAGTTCTCTGGTTTCCTCTGAGTATTGTTGCAATTTACTCAAGAACACAGTAACTCCTCCATTTCCGATAGATAAGCACAAATTAGGTCTGGCTTCAGAATTTGTGCACTTGAACTCTGTGTACATTGTTCTAAAAGTTACGAGAACCATAGCGCGTCATACTTAAATTTATTAAATGAAGGGCATTTATTAAATTTATTCAGGAATAGCATTTATTAAATTTATTCAGGAATATCTTTTGTTTACATAGTACCCTTCATCCACCTTTGAATGACTCAGAATCTTTCTTAAAATAAGCATTAGGTTGAAAGTAATTTCCTCCGGATATACAGATGGGAAACGGTCAGAAATCATAGGCAACCTGGAGTAAACAGATGGAGCCTAGATCACTCCTGCCGGTGTGGACTGTTTCCAGACCACAGTGACCATGCCATATCCTTTTGCAGAAAAATCACAGATTTGGTTCTAGTATTTTTATGATTAATAAGACCTCATTGCTTTTATTTTCATGAATTTTGATACCCTTAAAACTGTAAATTTATGGATTAAAGTTGCCTTCAGCATTTCTATCTACCCATTTTTCTGTCTTTTATGTTACTAGATATTGAGTTTCTAAACTGATGGTGATATTTTTACCACAATTTTTATGTAGCTCATTTCTATTAAATGGCGGATTTTAAAACAGCTAATTTAAAAATTGAAGCTGATTTGGAGAAAATACTAGTGGTTCCATTAAATGAAACGCTTTGTATTTTAATGATGAAATTTTCTTGTGTACATTACTGAAAAATGTAAATTAAAACTACTTGAATTTGGAGTCGGCAGATGGCATGGTGGTTAAGGCACTGAACACTGCCACATGACTGACCACGGTTTGAATCCTGGACCTGGTGGCTTGCTTTCTCACTTTCCCTCTCTCTGTCTCTCCCTCTGGCCAAATTAAAATAAGTGAGTGAGTAAATAAAATTAAATAAATATTTTAATTTAAAAAAAAACCTTGAATCTGATACACTCTACTGAAGAGATTTTAGAAAATCTTTTCAGTTGATTGTTATTTAAGTCTCTGTTCCAAAGCATTTAGAAAGTAATATGTAGGTACATTTTGTACTTAACACATTGTGTTTTTCAAATTGAACTTCTTACAATAAAAAAGCAAACAAATGAGTATCTGTTGCCTGGATAAGTACAGCTTAATTGTAGGTAGTCTTTTCTTCCTTCCACATTGCATTTGACGGTCAGCAGGCGTTTTTATAAGCTCAGTGGGCAGGCTTAGTCTAGATATTTGACTTTGGCAGGCAAGATATGAAATAGTTTAAATAGTTTCACTGTATATTTATTGCCCAGTGAATGTGTGCACTTGTTAGACTAGGGCTGCCCCCCCCCCCCTTTTTTTTTTTTTTTTTTTTGGAGTGA